CGTGTGTTACTGTGCCAAAAGCTTCCCTAAAATCTAAATGAAACTTCGACTGAATTGTCCTTGGTCACAGAATTTATTTCCTCAAATAACAACGATAGGTTTGTTATGCAATGATCTCTTTCCCATAAAGTATGCTGAGTGCCTCTTATAATTTCATGTCTCTAGCTGCTGCATTATTCTCTTCTTTAGGAGTCCTCCAATACCTTCTCCACACAGATGCCAAACTCAGCAGGTTGTTTTTTGGCTTTAAAATTGCTATTGCGCTCCCTATTTTCTGAACCTCAGGCACCACTTATGTTTTTAATAAGTCCCTAAATATACCTTCCAAAACACGACTAAGACAACTGGGCACTTCCTTACCTTACAAAGCCTGGATTGAATGCAAACAACTTCCTTTAATCCAGGTCTACCTCTCCTTTAATAAGTCCAGTCACCTCTTTATTAGAAATATCTATCATTCTTAGAATCTCCCAGTCCCAAAAATTGCGCCTCCACCTTCACAATGTAGTGTTTTCCCCTGTGACCAAATACAAACAATTCAGTATTAATGGATCCCCCATCTCTTGGTCATTCAAATATCGTGAAACCTTGGGGATCAGCATGTGTTTTACTGTTTTCACTAGTTCTACTATGGATAGATTTATAAAGGCTTTTGTGATGAATTTTATATTCTTAATCTAATTTTCTGCTTTAGCTCTCTTGACCAGTTTCTAAGCCTACTTTAATGTTATACCCATCTCTGTTCTATCCCTAGACTTAAATTTGAGGAAAGCTCTTATTTTTTTCTCCTTATTCCTTGCACTGCCTCCTTTCTTGATTTACTCTTTTCTCTGCAGCTTCCCTTCTCTAATAATATGTTTAGTACTGCAATGCATTTTTGAAAGAATTCCATTTTTCTTTATAGTCTTTCCAGCAATCTGATCCAGTCTAGCACCCCTTAGTGCTTTCCTTGTTCCTTCATCATGTACCTTCCTAAATCATGCCTTATTGACATTCACAACGAATAACGGAATAATCCAATCTAACTGCATTTAAATTGCAAGTAGTCATTCCACTGGGAGGTTAGGAAATTGTAGAATTATCTTAACGGCTTAGGAGAGTCTAAGCTGTTACTAAATGGAGCAGCATTACCCAGTGTAATACCAGGGCGAAACTCCACTGTGGTCTTTTCAATAGTTGTTCTGGAATTTGTAAATGTCGGAAAGTTCCTTAAAATCACAGTCTAAAGATCTCAGTCTGAACTCTTCAAAAGTAGTGTTGAACAGATTGCATCAGTCTCAGTGTCCATTATCATATTTGATGCTTCCAAGAAAGCACTTTGCTTTGGTTAGGAATTGATAGCTTGCACGCCATACATTTCTGATAATACAACCCTCATTTTTTCAGGTGTATAAAGTAGATCTTCCACAAAAATCATTCGATTAGCTTCTTTATATTCAGAATACTATAAAATACTATTCCTGTACGTGAATGTTTTTTTCTTCCCTTTGTTGAAACAACCAATAACTCACAAGAACCCAAAAATACTGGTGTGAAGCAACGCTTCAGTTTTCAGCTTCACTTCCCGCTCCAGAATGAACCTGAACAATTTCTAAGATGTCACACTTCCATTTACAGACCATTTATACTGCTGGGAGCATGCAATGTTGCTTCCAATATGAAATTGATACAAGTGGATAGACATGATCTAAAATTCTCAATCTCATCAAACAAGGTGACATTGTTGCTGACGAAAACATGCGGACCTCGCTATGTAATGTTGTGACACACGAGGATAGGTTCTGCAATCCTACATTTGCAGAATCCTGATAAAAACTATTTACAAATTGATCTGGAGGCCTTATTTGAAAGCTAGGATTTACAATTCAATCTCAAGGTGGGTTGTTCACCTGTTAAGAAAAATTAAACCCTTTTACGATTATGTGAGTAATTCTCACCTATAAATCCCTTCATATTCTAGCACTTACCCATCTCTCTGATCTTCTCCTACCTCACTCTGCTCGGCTAACTCTGGCTTGCTGCGCATCCCCTTCTCCCTCTGTGCCATCATCCATGACTGAGTCTTGGAGACTAGGCCCCTGATCTCTGGGACTTCTTCTTTATGACTAAACAACCCTCTCTACCAGTCTTTAAGTCTTGCCTTAAAACCTGACTCTTTGACCATGCCTATGTCACCTGCCCCTACCCCCTTCCCTTGTGCTCCGGGATGCTACCCCGCGTGAAGGGAGCTATATAAATGCAAGTTGTTGTTAATCATCCTCTGCCACCTCTTTATGAAGCTCTACAAGAGATTACTAACGTGAAGGGCACTATGCAAATACAAGTTATTGTTGTACATTTATATTGTACTTTCAGCATCAATTCTAACAGTACAATTGGGGTAGAAAATGACAGTCATGGAGTTGTAAATTATATTTGTTGACTACGCCTATTTATTTACAGTAATGAAATTTTGAAAAATAATCTATCAGTAATTAAAAATAAGAATAATCCTCAAACATGATATAGCACTTTTCACATCAGGAGGACACCTTCATAGAGTTTACTGTAAAGTATCATGCCTGTGGCAGCTAATTTTGCACACAGCAAGTTCCACAAACAGCCATGAAATAAATGACCAATTTTATTTGGGGGATTGTTGACCAAGACACCAGGAGAAACTTCCATCTCTTTTCGAATCAGGCTATGGGAACTTTAACTTCCATCTCAACAGGCAGACGGGACCTTGATTTTAATATCTCATCCAAAGGACAGCACCTTCAACAATGCATCACGTCCCGAGTACAGCAATGGAGTGTCGGCCTAGTCTACGACAATTCAAAGTGCAGATGTGGGGCTAGAGCTCACAACTATGTAATTCGGAGGTGAGTGTGCTACCAACTGAGTCAGGTTGACACCTTCAGTGGCAGGTTCTGTACACAGAGTGGAAGGAAGCAGGTTCAATCTCTCAGCACACTAAGAGCCCGTCACATGTCATATTCAAGGAGAATTTTATTATACAAAAGTGAAAATGGCTGATGAATTTCTTTCATAGCCAAGAGCAGCAGCATTGATTGTTCTTGGGAGCTGGCCCACCCACAGACCTGCCTCAGGAGGCATAATAATAAGTTGGGGAAAGAAGGAATTGCGTATGTGCACTCAGAGAAGGCGACAAAATGCACATAACAATCAGTTTATATAGAAATCCCTTCTGGATCTAATTTAGTAAATAATAATAATAATAATAATCCTTGCATTTGATATAGCGCTTTTCATGTCGGGAGGACGTCCCAAAGCGCTTCACAGAACACACTGTAAAGTGAATTGACTGTATATTTGTGGGCGAACGCGGCAGCCAATTGCGCACAGCAATGTCCCACAAACAGTCGTAGATTGAAAATGACCAATTTATTATTGTTTCTGGTTTTGGAGGGATTATTATTAGGTGTGTGGAGTAAGGAAACTTGCCCAAGGTTTCGCCCTGCCTGGAATTGAACTCAGGTCTCTCACTTGCAAAGCGAGTGCTCTAACTACTGAGCTACAGGACTCCACAAATGAACAAACAGCTGGTTAAATGAACAAACATTAATAATACAGTACTTAATAGTCTATATATCATCTATAAAATAAAAATGGACCTGTGTTCAATTCCCTGCAGGGCGAAATGTTGGGCAAGTTTCCTTACTCCACAAGCCTTTGTTTACCTAGCAATAAGTAGGAACCCAGTTGCTAGTCGATTCGTGGAACGTTTTTCCGGGCGTAATAATCCCTTCAAAAAATAATAATTTGGTCACTCGATCCATGATCGTTTTTGGGATACTGCTGTGTGTAATTGGCTGCTGCGTTCAACAACAACAACTTGTACTTATATAGCGCCCTCCATGCAGAATAGCGTCTCAGAGAGCTTAATAATAGTAGACCCTGACTCCGAGCTGGGGGGGTGGGGGGGTGGGGGGGGGAGTGGTTGCAACCATGGTCGAAGAGGAAGGACTTGCAAAAGGGGAGAGAAGGGGCAAGGCAGAGGGATTGAGGGAGAATGTTCCTGAGTTTCGGGGCATAGTGCCTGAAAACTCGACCTCCGATGGTGGGGCGGAGGGTGCGAGGGACGAGCAGGAGGCCGGTGCCAGTCAAGTGGAGGCGCCAGGTGGTGGATTGGGGAGTGAGGAGGTCGGAGAGGTAGGGAGGTGCCAGAGATTGAAGGGATTTGAGTGTGAGGATCATGAAGTCTATCCGTTTGGTGATGGGGAGCCAGTGGAGCCCGACCAGAACTGGTGAGATGTGGGTACGGAGTTTGAATGAATTCACCAACAAAAATATACAGTCAATTCACTTTACGATATATTCTGTGAAGCGCTTTAAGATGTCTCAAAGACATGATAAGGCACTATAACAAATGCAAGGATTATTATTATGGGTTTCCGCATATGTCAGACTCCCGGCTGACCAAAAAACAATAAAGCACTTCCCAGTATTAGATCAATGCCCCGAGGTAGGGCTTGAACCCACAACCTGCTAGGTACGTCTCAGCAAAACATAACAGGATTCACTTATAAATGAACAATAACTTGCATATAGCACGCTTCTTGCAGGATAGCACCTTGAAGCCTTGTAATTGCATCAAACCACATATCACAACACTCTCAATACATCAGCAAAGTTATCTTTCACATGCAAAATAGAAGATAACTTTGCATCTGCATGCATTCCAAAATCCCTCGATGTATATTTACATCACTGTAACTGCTAAACTCATAAACCCACATACCAGTTAAAATAAGCAGCTGGTTACATCAGAACATTAAAAAAAAATACATGACACTACATTTTGCAATTATAGAATTAGTATCAATAATAGAAACCCTATGGGGGGAAATCCGATTTTGAGAATTATACCCAATCCTATATAAAATGCAACCAGGTACTTATAATTGTTTGCATTCAAGGGCAGCTTTATTTATTGCTGATGCAGAAGGGGGGAGTGTAAACACACACTGCTCCCAGCTCCTGCTGCCCTGACTTACCATCACAGAGGCAGAAGAGGAGGCGATGAATACCCGAATGACCATCTTCCTCCCAACAAAATACAAGCCCAGGCGGTAACGTGATGCTGGTCACTCCGAGCCTTCCGAGCAGAGGGAGCGCTGAGCTGCGGGTCCGCTGTTTAGGAGTACATACCACGCACACTTTGCAATAAATAAAGACACGGTCCCCAGTCTCATTACCAGCAGCACCTCCGCCTCCCCAGATGGGAGTCAAAGCATTCGCCCGTTCACTGCTGCACCGCACCGCACCGCACTGCACGCCGGGCAATGTAGTCTTTCTCCGCTGAACTCCAGCAGAGACGCTCACGCCGGGAACTACAACTCCCAGAGTGCCGCGCGGTGCATTCTCTGTGGGGCACTTATCCCCAATAGTAACAGCAATTACCAAAGGAGGATGTTATTTGCTCATTATACACATGATGGGGATGGGGTGACTGTTCCCTCTTATTTTAATCATTTGCACATTTCAAAGCACACTGGATAGCTACTTCCCCTATTTTACACCTGCAGCATTCATGTTTTATATAATCTGCTGGGTGCAAATTACCTGCCTTGTTTTACCCATGAAATACAGTCACTACACTTTATAGTGTATCATGTGAAGCACTTTTAGATGTTCTTCCATCATGAAAGATGTAGCATCAAAAGCAAGGATTATTGATATTATTGTTACATTTAATTTTCAAAATTCTTCCTAGAGTAAATCCAGGCGAATGGTTGGAGAATAAACAAAGAGCAATGTGGTTTTAATAGGGGGTTGGATTGTATAAATGAGTCCGAATGGCAAATGGGTTTTCTAGTTGCACATCAAAGTGATTTATCTTTCTTCATCTACTAATACTGAGTCAATTGATCTTATTTATGCCAATGACTTGACATTTTTGTCAAATTTCTCTGTGGATGCAGTCACAAGACCAAGATTGTCAAGTAGAGCATAATCAGAGTAAAGCTCCCAACAACGTATTTTAAGCACAAACTCAAAAGACTGTTTCTAAGGTGGACTTTAAAGATCTCATGAATTATTGGAAAAGAGAAGGGAATACATCATGGTGTCCTGTTTAACTATCCTCTAGGTCATTCAACTCAATCCTACCTGTGAGACCTTGCAGGGGATAATTAGCTGCCATGTTTGGCAACTATTCTTCACTGCTCCAGCAGTAAAGCTCTACGTTTCATTTGTCTGCAGGTGTCCCCCTTGTGTCATTTCATGAATTTAATTTAATGATTGTTAACGTAACCCCATGTTAAACCATTACTATATTAATTAAACATTAATAGGTATCATGTTTAACCATCCAAGGATGCACACTCCATCTTACTGAGCCAGTTGGGAACCTTAACATCTTGTTTGACCCTCAACTATCCTTTCTATCCCATATCCATGCCATGCCCCTCTCTGCCTTCCCCCACCTCCGCAGCTGCTCCACCACTCTCTTACACCGCAGGCCTCCGAGACTCTCATGCATGCATTCATAACATCCAGGCCTGACTACACAAACTCCCTGCTTGTCAGCCTCCCCAACTTCTGCCTCCATAGTCTGGAGATCATCCAGAACTCTGCAGTCCTTGTCCTCTCCTGCACCAGGCTCTGCGACTCTATCACTCCCATCCTTGCCTGACTCCACCAGCTTTCCATCACACAGAGGATACAGTTCAAGATCCTGGTCCTCACCTTCAAAGCCCTCTATAACCTTGCTCCCCCATACCTCTGAAACCTCCTAAACTCCTACCAACTTGCCCGCTCCCTCCGCTAAGCTTCACGTCCCCTGCCTCGCCCACCCCACCATAGGTAGGCAGGCCTTATGCCACTCTGCCCTCACCCTCTGGAAATCCATTCTGCAGTCCCTCCACCTCACTCCCTCCCCTTGCCTCCTTCAAGATCCATCTCAAGACCCTCCTCTTTGACCATCCTTTGATCACCCTCCTTCTCCCCCTGCCCTCCAAGCTCCCCGATCCCGACCCCCAGCTCGGGTCCAAAACGCTGATTTAGCACCTTGGGATGTCCTCCTGACGTGAAAGGTGCTTTACAAATATAATTTTGTTGTTGCCAACCTGGGCTAGTTGGCAGCTCTCTTGCCTCTGAATCAAAAGGTTCAAGAACCACGTTGGGTCTTTAGTTCATAGTCTAGGCTGACACTCCCATGCAGTATTGGGGAGTGTTGCCATGTTGGAGGTGTTAGCTACCCTTTAGCATGTTTGCTTGGTCAGTTGGATGTTAAAGATCCCATGGCACTATTTGAAAAGAGAAGAGAGTTTCTCCTGGTGTCCTGGCCAGCAGTGCCCCAGATAAATTGATCATTTACTTCATAGCTGTGTGTGACACATTGCTCTGCACAAGTTCACCAACAAAATATATATCACTACACACAACATTAATCCTGTGAAGCACTTTGAGATGTTTGACAACATTATAAGGCACTATATCAAATGCAATGTTTATTTATCAGCATTCATATTTGATGTTTCATGCATAACTAATGCAGATTATAGTTCAAAGTCACGGGACCGGAAAGACAGTGATGAAGGCTCAGTACTAAAATGTCAGCGGGGATGTATGAAACGTTTTTATGGATTCACTGATCTGCTGATTGGCATTTGAATTGCTTCATTTTGCTTGGATAAAAATATCAAGAGTCACAGTTTCAGTGCTTGTATAGCACAGTATGCAGCACCTGCAGCTGTCACCAACAATGTTTTCCAAATGTTGTCAAAGCATGCTCCCAGGTGCTGTTTCTTACTGTCAAAATGAAGACTTAATGATGAAATTTTGTGAAAGTTGTTTTTCTTAAATATAACTTTTAATGCTGCCTGACAAAACCAAAGAGCTCTTCGTGAAGATTAAGTTTAGATAGAACCATCAAAATGTATGACACAGCAGGAGGCGAGAAGCCATCAATCGTAATCCTAATTGCCTGCGCTTTTGCCAATATCCTCCAATACTCTTCCTCTCCCTGTGCTTGTCCAAATCTTCTTTAAATGCCCCCAATCGTCTGTTGTAACAGCCACATCTGGCAAATCATTCAATACCTTGACAGTGCTTTGGGAGAAGAAATTCTTCCGAATCTCTCATTCTCCGAGTCACAATCTTAAATTCCATGCCCTCTTGACCTTGAACCCCTACAAGCAGAACAGGGTTTTAAGAGTCTCAAAGGGTTTTAGACTTCAAAGGAGGGGTAGGAAATTGAAATTTCTATCAAGAAGATTTAAAAGTATCATTTATACAAACATGATCATGCCACTTCCATACGAAATATATTCATATTTTGTTGGGATGATACCAAGTCACATTCAAATTACTGGAAGTATTTTTCTTTGGCATATTTGTTCAAAGAGGAGATGTTCAAAGAATAAATCACACACAACCTTGGGCTAATATTTGGTATCCTGTTGGCTTTAGGTCAATTTGAAGCAAGCTTCGAACAAGCCTTCTAGCATAACTGCAAATTTACAAGCTATTTTTGACACAAAGATTTGCCCCCCGCCCCCCTTCAAATAGGTGATATCATCTTGGCTGTGATATAAACTGCAATAAAATTAAAATAAAAGGATTGTGTTGGATGACCAAATGTTTATTTATTACCAGTATTCACTAAACAAACTCTAAAGAACTTTTAGTTGATAATTGTTACATTGTATTTCGAGGCTATTCTCAAGTCATTCAACGTTTCAGGGAATTTACTGTCAGTTGTTAATGACTTTTGATTCCAAATTGTGCAAAACAATTAGTTGTTGATCTAATCGAGGGATTTTGTTGGTGGAGGTTGTCATTTGATAGGATTTCTAGCTTCATATGTAATGTTCCAGAATTAGCTGATACTTGAAGATTTGTTGACAAATTTTTTCACAATATAAAAATGGTCAACAAAAATATCNAACATATACATGTGAATGGGTAAGAACGCAACTTTTCTTAATTATCAACTCATTTATCTAGATAACAAAGAAAACAACTAACAAAGTACTTTAAAAATCCAAACATCTGCATAAAGAGAGCATGCACCAATATGTAATTATTGTAGGTATCACCCAAAGATGATTTAAAAAAATACAGCAGAGAAAATATCACAATGCCAGAATATATGGTGTAAAAAAATTGTATCTTTCAATTTGTTGAGCAGCACCATCTAGTGGTCCAATCGTTAATTTATTTTACAACACAAATCTAAATTGAATAACAATAATCTTTGTATTCGATAAAACGCCTATGACATCAACACAAAGCACTTTACTGAGTTTTCTGTAAGATGTACTTACAGTGTATTTTAGGTGACTGCAGCAGCCTATTAGCACACAAAGAACCATGAAGTGAATGATCAATGAAGCGAGAGAGCTATCAACTGAGCCAGACTGTTACATATTTTTAAGTCTTATTGTGTGGGAAATTGTATGTCTTTTTCACCCCTTGCTTAAATTCACTGCATTCATTCAACTCATTTTTATTATTGTGCAGTAAGGCCTGAACATCGGATTTCCAGATCTGGAGGAAAAATATTTACAGTCAAGCCTGTCTTCAACAACCACTCAGGAGAATGGGCAAAAGTGGCCTTTATATAACAACAAACTTTCCAGCACATTGGGACATCCTCCTGACGTGAAAGGCGCTATACATGTGTAATTTTGTGGCATATTGATTGTATATTGATTGTATATATATTTCCTTCCTCCTCCTGTGATGCCTCAGATGCCTACTGGGATGAAGAACAACAGGCACGAATTACCCATTTTCATTCAAAACAAAGATCTGGAGTCTAATATTGCATCTATTCAAGCTGTGCATCAAGGGGCCCTTGGTTTAATATGCAGCTTGAATTGATACAATTTGCATCTATTCAAGCTACACATTAAAAGTCCATTATTATGCCACCCCCCGCAAGAAAATTTTAACCGCCATTGAGCACTTCATTTTGTACGATAGCCTCAAGGAAATAAGTCGAAAATTTCTGAGAGGTGAAGTGTTATGTGGTGCCCAAATGATTTAATGATTATTCTTGCATATGTCTACTTTATTGATAAAAGTGCATTGTTTAAAAATTTGTATGAATTTTTACATTGTCTATTTTAAAATTTGGATTGCAACTAAAATATAGTTTAATTAAGTGATACAGTTTAAAACATACAGATTTAAAATGTAGGATTTCTATATGATTCTATATGGGTTATATTTCTGGAAAGGAAACACATAAATATTGCTTCTGTGGCCCACAGACGATTCTCAAATCTGGCATCTGGCCCTCAGCAGCCAAAAGGTTGGACCACC